AAAACACAATTAATAATAGAAATTAAAATGCCTTTAACGGTCGAAGCTAGATCTATAATGCTTTAAATAATTCAATGTGAATTATATATGTACATTGAATTATTTAAAGCACTATAGATCTAGCTTCGACCGTTAAAGGCATTTTAATTTCTATTATTAATTGTGTTTCTCACATAGCACGGTCTTTAAAAATGTTTAATTTGGTTTATTTACGTCGCCTGAAATAGACGTTTCATACACATACCAAAATTTGCGAGAAATATTACTAAGGCCTCGGTGGTCTAACTGGTAAGGACGCTCACACGGAATGTAAGAGATCCGGGTTCGACTCCCGGCCGAGGTAATATTTTTCGCAATAAATTTATTTACAGTTTTTCAGCACAGTAACATCTTGCTAATATGATGCCTGATTGTGCATCAAAAATTAGTTCGTTTCGTGATATTATTCCAGTAGTTTAATTGCGTTTATATGTCCGGAAAATCAATTCGGCGCGCAGTTTGAAGGACTACAAATATGGTATATATGCAAGTACAGATATACAATAGTATATATATAATTCACATTGAATTATTTAAAGCATTATAGATCTAGCTTCGACCGTTAAAGGCATTTTAATTTCTATTATTAATTGTGTTTCTCACATAGCACGGTCTTTGAAAATTTTGAAACTTTTATATTTATGAATTTAACGTACAAAAATTTATTATTAAAATATTAAATTGTGTAAAGTAATTACACAGTGATAATCATAGCACATACAACCATTTATTTTATTAAGAACCCTATTTCTATAATTCATAAAGAAATAAATAACATTTTTAGAAATATTAATATTTATTCCCTAAAGTTTAGATGATATTTATTCCTTTTCACTGTTATAATTTAACTAGTACTTAACGAAAAGTAACTTAATTATAGTGTTTTGGAAAGCTCTCGAGATGAGCTGTAAGAATGTACAATGAGAAATAAGAGGTTCCATTTAAAAAATTAAAGGTGACCTTCACATGATCTTCAGAGGACTATCCAAGGTCAAATCGATGGCACCATCTTATGTCCTCCTTCGAGTCAAACAACTTTTGTCTGAAACATTTTTGTCTACTGAGTTTAGTTTTCGAGATATTTGGCAGATCATTTAAAATGGGACACGCTGTATTTATATATACAGGGTGTTTCCAAATTAAATGGCAAAACTTCGGGAGCGTGTAGAGGAGTAAAAAACTAAGAAAAAAAGTCCTATAGACATATGCTCGT